TGTTTTTTTTCCCCTTTTCTCTGCTGTTCTGCAAATTAAGGTCTATAAGGTGTGTGGTGGAGGCAGTCCTAGGTTTGCTGCAAGGAGAGGGCTGGAAGCTAATCCAAAGGTGCAATGGTACATATGTGCATAGGGACGAGGTGGACTCATCCTGCAGTGTGCTCCCTCTGATCACATCAAACCCACTTTTTCTAACCATGAGATCACCAGGCTGCTGCCCAGTTCAGTGCCGTGGTGTAGCCTGAGACAGCTCCTGCACTCACGGATTTGGGACAGTGCGGCTCTGCAGCAGTGTTGCAAGTCTCCTGAAGGGGCAGAGCAGTGCTTGCTGGGGATCATCCCCATATGACCAAGGAAGAGCCCATCCTTCATTAAAAATAAAAGAGCACAAATTCCCAAATAAGGAAGCTGGCAGGGTCAGGGCAGCCTGCAAACACAGCTGTGGACTTACAGGTGAGCCATACAGAGCTATGCAGAGCCCAGCCTGTGCTTTCCTTACCCTGTTTTATCCAATCTGTTGCCCACTGCAAAAAAATCCTATTACCCTTATCCTATCCAAGAAGTTCAGCCATGGCTGGAGCGGTACCTAGCACTGAGCACTATTCCAGTGCTACATGGTGCATTTCAGATTGATACAGAATCAATTTCATAGATTTACTCTTTTTTTTTTAAGGTGCAGTCTTGGAATAGCTGAGACTGTGTAAGGTGCAGCTAAGCATGTACTTCCACAAAACAATTTGTCAGGGCCCACTGTAGAAACCTAAAGATGGCTGTAATTTATTGCTGACAGATGATATTTATCACCCCAGCATCCTCTCTTTCTCTTTCTCTGTCTCATTAGGAATGGCATCAATAATGTTTATTGTAGCTTTTAATTTTTTATCATTGGTATTCTTACCTGTGCTGATGATGGCTGGCTGGAGATGAGAAAAGGCATTAGAGTAGACAGAGGCTTTGATAAGTATTCAAGGGTAAATGATAAATTTAGGAAATTCTTCCTGAATCCTTACACAGTGTGTGTGCTAAAACAGAGCATGTTCTAATAGAGGGGAAAAATCGGGGTGTTTACTCACCAAAGCTCGCCCTCCACTTCCAGTGGAGGAAGTGTGTATGGTCTGCGGAGGATGCTTAGACCCTGAGCCCTCCCTAGGGAAAACCCTAATGCTCACCCATGGGGTTTCCTCCAAATCACCCCAAAACATTGTGCTCCTGGCCCCAGTCTGGCACCAAGCAGCTCCCATGATGGTGAGCAGGAGCATCATCTGCAGTGTTTCCGTCTCACTGCTTGGTTTACAAACAATACTGCCTTGCCACAGAGACCACCTCCGAGTAAATGTTATTTACTTGTTTTTTTTCTGCACGATTTGCCATTGCCCCTCCACTAAATGAAGCTCCACATTCCTCGATAGATGTTTGCATTTTGCATGCCGCCTCTTTTCACACCTATTAAGCGATGCTCTGGTTAAATGGAAATCTGTGAGCGTGCTGGCAGTTGCTTCACTGCAGGGGGTTGTTTGCTGCCTACACTGGAATATTCAGGTGTTTGGACTGGCTGACAGGAAGATGCCCTTGTGAAAAATTATTTACCTAGGGCAATATTTCTCTACTGAGCTCAGACTGCTCACATCATCTCACACCTGACACTAAAAATACCCTGGCTGCCCCAGCTTTTCTCCCACCCTACATGGCCATTTGCAAAGTTATAGGGCACCTATTTTTGTCCCTAAAAATACCTGAAATACCCTCACATCTTTAATTTTTTCCCATTTTCTTACATTTCCTACTGACCCTTTAGGAATGTGCTGCACTAGGGTTTGAAGCACTCTGAACTGCTGGGACCAGCAGTTCCCAATTGGTTCTTTTTTTTCCCCCATCTTTCCAGACATGAATAATTACCAACCCAATGGTTATTTTAGCATCATTATAGGAGCCTCTCAGACTAGCTGGTCATTTACAGATTAGATAGACATTGCTTACATTGTTCATAACTGATTATGAGATTGACAGTTTGGCTTTCACCCAAAATTTCAAGTCCCAATTTAGCATAATTGGAACCGAATAGCTGAGCAGACTGGGGGAAGGGAATAGTGGCTGCTGACAATTTAGTTAACTCTGATTTTATTGATGCCTGAAAAGCCTTTGATGTTGCAGGTTACTCTTTATAGGGCAATAAAGTTTATAGTTTGGGTTGTCCTGGGGGAGTAACTTCTACGTGTCTCTAACTGCTCTCAGGAGATTGCAGAAGCCATTGCCAACCCCAGCCTCAGTTTGCTCATGAATAATCAGAATCCAAGCAAAAAGCCAAAATACAGTTCTTATCTTGGAATAAAAATTACAGAAAAACAATGATGAACAAATTAAAAAGTAATCCTGTACAAGTGTAGGATTTTATTGTTTAAAAACGCCTTTCAAATTATTGTATTGTGTTTCCATCCTATTCTTTTGTTTAATTCTTCCATTTCTTCTTCATAATTTTGTCCCACAAAATATTGGGATTTCTGATGTTCACTCTTAACATATTTATAGTCTTTTGTACATCTATTCTCACAATCGCTCTCTGGTGTAGGCTGGGATTGGTACTTTTAAAAGCACAAGAAGATCAAGTGATTTGTCCAATGCAATCAAAATATCCATGGCAGGAGAAAACAGATTCAGGATCCCCAACTGCCAATGCTAGTGATAGACCAGTGAAAGTTTGGCCAGAGCCACTGGCCCTGCTGCTAAAACACCAATTAAAAGATACCTTGCCCTGAAGCATAAGGTGAGCAGGATGGAGCTGAGGAACCTTCAGCAGGCACAGTGCTGCTCAGCTGGGCAGGGAAGCCCAGCACAGATGTGAGAGCAGCAAGGCCACTGAACAAAGGCAAATGTTTAGGCAAGTCCCAAGCAGGCACCAGGTGGGTTTCAAACTGCAGCCCCAGGAACCTGAGTAATTGCAAGCCAAGACGCTGGGCGCATTTCTAGAGGGGGCTGAGGGCATTTTTTCCCATCCCAACCTCTACTCTCCTTCCCTCTGACCACTGGATTATCTATAACGTACAGGCAGAGCTCTGGTTCCTGGTCCTGTGGCTTTGAGCTCATTTGTCAAGCCCAGAGATCTTTATGAAAGGCTGTTAGCAGAGCATTTACTTCCCATTTCTCATCCTACGCTGTCATCACCTTCCAAGATTAATTAAGGAAAAAAGAAAAGACATCTTGTCTCTCTTTTGTTTCCCCCTTCCTTGTTGTTTTTTTTTTTTTTTCTTTACATCCTCTTTCTCTCCATTCATGTCCAGAATATTGCTGGGGAGCAAAATGAGCAAAACTCAAAACTTTCCTCTTCCCTCTTGTGGATAATATATCAATTTTCTTTTTTTTTTTTGCCTCTCTGTAAGTGGAAGTGGTTGGGTGAGCTTTGTCCTGAACATCAATTCTCTCACATGGCCTCAGCTGCTAAAGCTAAGCCAGGAAAGATCCCAAATCCATTGACTTATGATAGCTTTAAGTGCTCATTTCAGACTTACCGCACCAGTCCCAAGGGTCGGTGTCCTGTTCCTGAATCACCTCCAGGGTCGCACAATGCTATCCATCTTGCTCACCACGGGTAATCGGGTGCTTTTGTTCAGGCACCAGTTCATATATGAGCTCCTTGTACCATTTACTTCTATTAGGAGCCATAACCTATGCTTATCTGGTGCAATAGTCTCTTCCACTGTCTTGTGTGCCTAAAAACCCAAATGCAGTGCTGTGTTTGCTGTAGCTCAGGCTATTTAGTCTGCTTCTGAGCCCACCCTGCTCCCACCTGTGTAAGCGAATTATACCAGTCCTACTCCTTGCCCTGCCACCTTCCCAACCCAGCTCCCTTGGTCCCCACTCCATCCACATGCTTCCTGAGCTCCCATTAATCCGACTCCAGTAACACCCTTCTTGGGTGACTCCTTTTCACCCTTTTACACCTTTTATTCAGTGGCAAATTCACATGTTGTGTTATACAGAGATTAATTTTGCAGTCTGACTCTCCTAGTGGCTCTGCTTCTCTCCCCAGTCTGACCAGTTCACCCAGGGGCTGGCTGTACCTGACCTGCAAGTTCCCAGCACACTCCCGTAAGATGGTGCTTTTGGTCCCTCTTTTGGTGGCACAGGGAGGAGGAGATGCCTTCTCAGGCATGTGTCATTGCCACACACAGAATAAAGATGAGAAACAGTGGATCCTTGGCCAACGTAAATCAATATGGAGCTCCCATCACCAGTGGAATTAAGCTTACTACCAGCCAGGGGAGTAACCCAAAATGCTGTTCATTGGAGCAAAAGAAATTTCTGCAGTAATTAGATCTGGAGCATGATTACCCAAAGGGAAACAAAAAACAAATGCGAGTGACAGATATTTCCAGGATAACTGCAGTTATTAGTGCTTTTCTCTACCAGTGACAGACACAAGGGATTAGTATTGCCTGAAAAAGTCTGGTTTACTGTGGGAAAAAATGAGGGCTGGAAATGGAGCAAGTAGAAGTCCATATGCTACTCGGTGTGCTTGTAAGGTCCTGGGAGAATAGCTTTAGCCAAAACAACAAAAGGCAAATATGTGAGGCATATGTGAGAAGAAACATGAACCTGTTGCTTGTAAGTTTCCAGTTAAAAATAAAGTTTGCTCTGAATTAGTGACCTTACTTGTGAGTGCCCTGGCACTGCTTAGCACACAGGGTGAGTCCTGGACTACAGAGCTGGGGCTTGGGGTAAGCGTTTTCAATTTAAATGCCTTTTCCTACTGCCTTGTGTTATTTGGGTAGTAGCATGAAATACCAGCCCTCCCACTCATACCTGCACCAGCAGATCTTGGCACGAAGGAGGTGTCCATCACCTCTGTGCAGCTGGTACGGCAGTGCCAAGCTGCTGCAGAGACCTTCTGTCTACAGCACAGCACTGCAAGAGATCTGGTGCTTCCCAGTAAAGTAACAGTAGAAAAAGCATGAGCTGGCCCACGTCCTTGCTGCACAGCTTGGGCAAGCAACCACGAGCTCCAAGTGTGACTAAGCATGGCTGAGAGATGCATGTAGGCTGGTAAGGGCATGGGAATAGCACGGGCTAATCCACCCTACGGTTTGCTTTTGGGTGTGTGCACTTGTAAATGCCAACTCTGCTCTGAGAGCATCACTCAGCACGTCTGGCTTCCATGAACCATATGTGCTCACTCAAAACCATCAAATTCTTCTTTTAATAAAAAGTTTGCAAGCAAGTAAGGCTAAAAAAAAAACAGCACTAAAATAAGAGCAAGGTTGAGGGTTTTTTTCTTTTAAATATAAGAAGTGCTGACATCCAGGGAGTAACAAGATTGATTTCTAGCACAGTTGTTTGTCAATAGGCACAATTTAGATCAGAAAGTTTGTTTTCTGGCATTTGCTGTGGTCTGTATTCCCCGTGGGTGCTGGAAACAGCCTGGCAGAGGCTCCACCAACCCATGGCCCCATCTCTGCCTGCTGTTAGATGATTCAGGGAAAGCTCAAGACCTTCATAGCAGGCAGCTGTATGATAACTTGTCCACATTGAGCTGAAATTTTAGCTAAAAATCAGATATTTAATAGAGCATCCAAAACACATGGCACCATCAGGGCTCCTAAGCATAATCAGTCATCTTACCTGATGAAAAGCCACTTATGTTTTCATCTCCCCTATAGATTTGATACAATGGGCAGCTCTGCAGCTGGGGTGCATACATGTGGTTCTGCTGAGTCAGGTCTTATGTTTAAAGCATACTGAAAGCCTATCTGCCCTCATGGCAGGGGTTTGGAACTAGATGGTCTTTAAGGTTCCCTCCAACCCAAACCATTCTGTGATTCTATGATGATTCTATGATCTGTCCTTTGGGTGGCAAACTGTAAAGCATCCCACCAGTACTGGGGAGGAGAGCACCCATCACCTGGCTGCTTAGGTGACAATCAGGTGTGGGAAGCTACTGAGGAGGTTGGAATTGCCATGGCTCTGGGAAGAATCAGCATTTCAGATGCAGCCTTCCCCCATACCAGTAACCATCACCAGACAGCCCCACCTACTACAAATACCTCATTCCACAGGATGTCTGGTGTATTCCAGCTTTCGAGGCATTTAAGGATGATTTGGCCTTTTTTACAATAAAATCCAAGTCTGACATGAATTAACTTTTGATGCTGAGACTCTGGTTCTCCACAGGACACCTAGCCTGAAAATATGGGAAAGGAAGATAATATCTGTGATTACCCACCTGGCACCTGTGTCAACTTTCACAAGAACTCATGGATGAGATAATGCTTTTTTAAGAATGTTACTTACCTCTTCTCTCTACTTCAAATGGGTCTTGAAACGTCCCTTCAGATACCAGGCAAATGCTAAAGCCTGGGCTGAAAGCAAAGTGCAGCCTCCTCCTACAAGACATATTCAGTTAGAAGCCAAGCATCTTATAAGCAATAGTCAGAAAATGACATAAACACCAACACCACAATGCTGAGAAGAGCAGCAAGAAAAACTTCTTCTTCCCAAATCTGAGAACTACTTTTGTTTATGGGTGGAAAAATCCTCCTCTAGTTGTTACCTAGCAGAATATTTCAATAAACACAGGACTGCCTCTGTCTCTCCTTTAGAAAACAGTGACTTTTCTATTTGACCTGAAAACTGAAAGTCTTTGGCCAAAAGATAACAAAACACAGAGGATGGTGGGTGTAGACTGTTGGGACTCCAATTTGGTATGGCTCTTCTTTGTCTAAAGCCAATTCCTACCCCACCGCCACCAATCCCACAACCTCCAAACCCTCTATGATTCCATAGCTCAATATTCTGATGAAGAAAACTCAGATAGCTGGAAAGGCGCAGCCCAGGTAGGAGCTTTTCCTATGGGAAAGCCAGATATTTATTTAAAAACTGGACTGAATCACTACAGACACAGGGGAATGTCAGAATATTCCACAAGTAGGAAGAGGAAAGAATACAATTGTCTCTGCAGTCTGTATATAGTGAATAACCCACAACCTGGGCAAAGCAGAAGTTGTAATACAGCCAGTCAAAGCAAAGCACTGCTAAATCTGTGTTTACAGAGGGGAATAGCACTTTGTGCCTTGGTCAAATCATCTTCAAGCAGACAGTGTAAACCGAGCACTGATACATCAGGTAGCAAAGAAAAACATAACACAATACTCGAGAAATATAAGGAAGGATAGTGAGAACCGGGCAGATGTGTCATTCCCTGAATATGGTCACCTGGAAACAAAGCATCTTGACTGAAGTAGTCAATATGCTAGGAGAGACTGGTGTTGCTGGTGCCAATCTCCCTCTGAAACACAAGGGAACCACAACATGGAATTTAGGCTTAAAACCTCTATATTGAATGGCTGAAATTAGATGAATGAGCCCCCTCCCACATGCTGTGTGAATGATTTGCAGCAGAACAGAGAGATATGACGAATTAAAGTCTTTGCAAATTCCCACTTGAAACCATCCAAGAACTGCTTTCCAGCAGAGATACATTCTGGGGAGGATAGAACTAAATTTTGCTGCATATAGACTTGTACAGTCCTGCCAGTTCCCATTATAATGCCTTTATTTATTGTCTCTTAAACACAAATGTGAGATAACTTCAATAGGCAAAGAAGTAGTTTTGCTCAGTTGGCCAAGACTGCCACTTTTAAAAATACTTTAGAAGACACTTAAATTAGGGGGGGAAATGCAGAAAGTTCTCTAAAAAGGGACAGAATAAATTTAGAAATCAGCTTCAGAAGTGGCTGGATTCTGAAAATGTCTACAACTAAAAATAGAGGGGAAACAGATGAATTTTTTCACCCCTCTTAATTATATTCTCTCTTGTGTTTCACTCCTCACATTGGGGTCTTTTCTAAGTGTACATCCAGCCTACGAGCCTGCGCATGGTAAACACTTTTGCTGTTATTCTTGACTAACTGACAGCCCTGGGAGCCATCCAAGCACAACCACAACAAACTCTAGTAAGCCAAAAGCGAGCATCAATACCAAAATGCCTCAGATCTGGCTCGGAGCAATGTCATGGCCAAATTCATTCCTGCTTGTGGGACTGTCACCTGTATAAGGTCCCTGAGCCACAGAGCTTCTGGGAGTTTCTTGGATAGGATCTGGCAGGAGGAAAGCCCTAGTTCTGGTGTCTGTCTCTGCTGAAAGCATATTTTGGGGTGTGTAAACTGTAAAACTGGCTCATCGCTAACCACATCTGCCTTTTTGCACCATTGTGCCATCTGTTTGTTGATGGCACTTTACAGCTCTAATGCAGGTGAACCCTGCTGCAGCACCATGACCCAAACCAGAGTCTCTGGGTGAAAGCAGGGGAGGCATTTTTTGACCCTTTGACTTTAGTGATAAGGGTGACAATGACAAGAGCATCAGGGATCTCAGCACACCCTGGCTGTTTCCCAGCAGCTTAGCTTGTGGGAAGGTTTCTGCTTTAGACTTACCAGCTGCTTGGCATTTGGGAGTACTCCAGCGTCAATCAAAGCTGGACGAATTAATGCAGAAAAAAAAAGAGAATCTGTGATGAATTCATCCTTCACTGTGGCATTAGCACAACCCTAACCCTGCCCCTCTCCTCCTCATCAGAAATGAAAAATGCATCCTCTCTGCCAACAATTACCTGTTCCGGCTCACCCCTCTGAACGCCGGCCCTGCTGTAAATGCTGTGCCCACAGCAGTGATGGATAAGCCCTGGCTCGGCCCTGCCACACAGCCATCTGCCACCCCAGCTCCCTCCCTGCGCCCCACCAATTGACACTCTCGTTCCTTTGCTGCGGATCAAGGGCAAGCAGGGAAAAGAAATGGCAGTGATAAAAGGCGCCTGGAAAAGTGTGAATTAGCCCACAGAAAAGAGGAGATGAATGAAAAGGCATAGGGCACGGGAAAAAGGGAAGGTGAAAAAATGGAAGGAGATGCAGGCAGGGACTACCATGCCTGTGTCTATAACCCTCACTGCTGGGAGCAGTCATGTTCCCCCCTATGCTTTATTAGGCTCTTGATGGCATGTTTGCTTGCTCTTGGCAAGCCCTCAGTGCCCGGATGAGAATGCTCTTGAGCTCTCCCTAGCTGACAAGCCGCTCGTCACCCACCGTGATCTACAAGGCACAGCAGAGCAGGGCACTGGATTAAATTATTCAAATGCCGGCTGTCAAGAGCAAAATTAAACAGTGAGATGCTGAGCAGTTAAAAACTCCTTTAGGGGCAGGGTGACCAAAGCAGAAAGCATCTTGGTAGCATCTCCATTTCTTTTATGTTTCATTGTTCTACAGGATGCAGCAAGGTGTTTGAGATTGGGAAGCTTTACATGGAGATGTTTGGGAAGTCTTTGGAAACCTCCCTCCATCCTTAAGGAGGGAGAGATGCAAGCCTCTGAGAAACCACTGCTTTGCTGACAGAACTTTTCCAGGCTGGGTGGATTACTTCCACCACCAGAGCAAGCTGAGAGGGACCTGGCTGTCCAAACCCCCTCCCAGCCCATTATCTTTCAGGTTTATCATGTATTTCAGACCTTCAGTCTGGGAAACTCTGCTTTCAAGCAGAATCACTTTGGACGGTAGTTGGTTATTTTCACTAAAAGCTCTGGATTAAATTTATAATAGTAATAAATGCATTTTGGTTCATGGGTTTGATCCCAGATTTGCCCCGAGCTGCTCAGGTAGGAGGAATCTTTATGTTTGAGCTGAAATCCTTCTTCCATCAAGATTTATACAGAAAAAGCATACAGCAGGGGAGAGGCTGGCACTTCTAAAGATGTTCTGAAAACACTCACACAAGCAGGAAAATGTCCCACAAGAATTATTCCCCCAGTGCCAGCCATGCCAAAACCCAGGACACTGTCCTTGCCCATCTGTCAGCTCTGCTTCTGATACTGAACAAATCACATTTATGGTCGTCATAGATTTAGAGAAAGCTGCACAAGGGCCATAATATGGTGAGCCCCATTAAAATGAGAGATAAACCATTCTCTTGTTTCAAGGCGCGCTATAAACACCAACATGCCTCTCAGGGAAGCTGGAGAAGAGGCACAGCAGTATCTTGCTTGCAACTGTCTGTCTGGATGAGACCACGTACCAGCTACCAGCAGCAATGATAAGAATCTCTTGAGACTGGTGGGGAGAATAAAAGCAATAAAATGTTTCCTCAACATGAAGCTTTCTCCAGCATTAATACAATAACAATTACTTGAGAGGATCCCAGTTAGTCCTTTCTGGGGGTGGGAAGAGCTGGGTTTACTCTGTCCCTTCTACTTCAAAAGTGAATTTGACAATAATGCTATAGAGGAGGCTTTCAAAGGCACATTTGGCCTCTGCAGAAGTCAGGACAAGTAGTGATGCATTAGGGACCAGGATTTTTTTCATTCCAAAAGCATATTTTGGAAAAACACATTTTTCTCCAAGTTTCAAAGGTTTTGAGTATTTTTATCTAGAAAAGATGTGTGTTGTCTGGTAGACAAAAGTTTGGGAGTCAAAGAAAAAATGGTGGCAACAAAGAGAAAAATTACATTTCCCTTTACTCTGTTTTTTAGAGTCTCCTAATTTTGCAAGCCACCTTCACACTTGTAAGCTAAAATATTATTTTTAAAATAGAGAAACAGTCTCCTTCCTTCCTTCTCTTCCCCCAGTCCTCCTCTCACACTTTCTTCTCTAATAGAAAGGGACGAATTTGACGTTTTGGGATATATTCCCTGCAGGAACTGAAGAAATGCCACCTGCTACCTGCATGCTAGCTTTGATCACAAATCAACAGCACCCAGTACTGTACAGGATCTCTTGATATTTTAATGGCAAAAAATGGCTGGCCACTAATAGCAATACATCCTGAATTGCACAGCCTACGGTTTTCTGTAAATGCCAAACACTACCTTGCTATTTATATCATTCTTAATTGCACCTCCTTAATTACAAGAAGCAAAATAATTCATTATGTTCAGTTAAAAGACCTCTAAAACCTTGCACTTCGGCTTGGCTCTCTTGCAAGTGCAGAATTATCATTGGGAAGAGCATTTAGCAGCTCTGTGCCCAAGTTCCTCTTCATCCATGCCAATGGTAGGAGGCTTGCTCAATCCCCACCTACTCGTACCATGTACTGTTGATGAACCAACTGAGCATGAGTAGCTCAAGCCTTCTGCTGAGCCCAGCTGCCAAAAGCCGAGCTGGAGAACACAAGTACTGCTGACCAGAACTGGAGGGCTGCAGGGTCTCCTAACACTGGTTCCAGAAGTCCTGCTGTCACTAGTGGGATATTGGGATAAATGCTCACATTTCTCAGCTGAACTCCCAGAAAAGTCTTAATTAGGCGAAAAGAGTCTAAGGGACCTTGCATCAACCTCTACAATCTGAAAGTGGGGATCCTTCCTCCTCTCGGCCCTTGGATAACCTGGCACCTCCTGACTTGCCATGAAGGACAGGAAGGCACTCCTAAAAATTTCTAAAGCATTGTCCTACAAGGCTCCCTCACATCCTCTTCCTTCAGGCATTGTCCACAGACACAGGCAAAAAACCCACCCAACCTAGTGCCAAGAAGGATACTAGTATCAGTCAATGTGACAGTGGGGGAAACAAAGATACCTGTATTTCCAGGAGCTTCTTTTGTAATTATTATATCAGCCACCATGGCCAAGTTAAGTTGAGGGACTCACCTAACTTGTGTATTACAGAGCTTAAAACACCAGGTTAAGATCCACACACTGGCTGGCTGCTTTCCTGTCAAAAAAACAGAGACCAAATGGTTGGGTACTCCCCTAAGCCTCATACCAGGTTATATAGCCACCTGCAACACCCCTGAGTGAGTTGGGAAGCCTCTCTCCATTGGTGAATTCCCCTTGCCATAGGCTACAGTTCCTATGCTTTTAATGGGTTATAAAACTGAACCTGCACTGAAATAAGACATGTTTGCACTATTTTTCTTGAGAAGCCAAGTGACCACAACCTTACTGCTCAGTGCTGCATGGCTGGAAGAAAATTATGTTCAGCTTCCAAGGGTTCAAACTAGGGGAGGAAAAAAAAGAAATATATATAATTAATTGGATAATGCTAGTTTGAGCCCAGGCCTTAAACTTATGAAACACAAATACATCCTCTATAAGGAGCCCTGTTTGAAAGCAGAGACATTGACCAGCATGTGCAAGTGGGGCAGAGCTTCCTAGGGCTGCAGCGTCCTGTCTGAAAGGGTGCTTCCAGACAGTAGATCTACTACAACATCTTTTCACCGTCTGTTACCTCACTTCTCTGAGGACCAGGATATGGCAAGAAGCCCTGAATATAGCTCTCAGTGCTGAGGGTTCTTCTGACATTGGGAGACGAGCATCTTGACCGTCTTTGGGCCAAGCTGTATTATAAACAGCACTAGAGCTACTCACAAGTCTTCAAAGTTTCCACATGATTATGTGAGCAAATATTTGGACTGGAAGTGCTGTTAGTCATTATTTGCATTCATTTTCTCTTATTTGTTCTCTGTCTTTTAAATAATAAAAAAGAGAAAGCCAAGATGACAGCTCACAGTGTTCACAGAAACAACACCTGGTTTTTTGAGCAAATACCTCGGATGCAGCCAGCCAGCCTCTGCAGCTCCCTGGGAAATGCTGCAGCAGGGACAGCCTGTGCCAGGCAGGAATTGGCCTCTTGTTCACAGCCACACTGCTGGGTACCACAACTGCTGCAGCAATAACAGGCCCTGAGCATCCACTGTAAAAATCCCTGCTCCTGGACTGGCTGTGCTCCTGCACAGACCTTTCCTGGATTTGATATTCTGAGGCCAGTTCCCTGTTTCCAGGCTTCCCTGGATTTGGAGGTTTCACTGCTTCACTGCTATTTGGAACCTAATTTGGAGGCCTGATCTTAGCAACAGCTGTTAGTCAAGCTCAGGGTTTAGCACCATTAATCACATCAGAAGGCAGAGGTGTTACCGACAGCAGGAAATACTGCAGCTGGTGGCAGGTGTCTGCAGATACAGCCCCCAAACATGTCCACCAAGGAAGAGTTTACACCTACCCATGTAAGTGTAAGGCTCCCTGGGCACAGAGGCACAAGAGGAGCTATACAGTAGTAGAAGAGCTCCATGGTAATGCTGGCATCAAAACTTACTCAGGCATCTTTGTATCAAAAAAAACCACCTTTCCAAAACACCTACAAATTATATTTCCAGCAGCCTATTTCTCTGTGTCTCCAGTACCTTATGCCTCCAACTTTGTTGAAAGCAATACGTACCAAGTGCTGGAAGAAGCACTGGGCAACAGCTAGAGGTGAGCCAGCACTTCAGTACAGACAAGCTGAAAACAAAGTGTGGTATTCTTCCTTTTGGCACACTCATGGCTTAGCAAATGCAGGGAGCCAGGACCCAGAGCCTGGATCTGGTACCTTCTGCATTAGGGTCATTTCTGTCTATCCTAACACCTTGCTTCCCAGACATGAATGGATGAAGTGGCTTCTTTCAAAAGGAAGTCTTGTTTACCCCGGAAAATGCGGACAGAACATGTCAGTTTAACTTAAACTCTCTGGAAGCATTTTGATTTCAACAGAACATCTCCCCAGAAGGCAGAAACATCTTGGGGCGGATATTTCTGCTCTGACACCCGTTCCCTCAGGTCTGAGTCCACAGGGGAGACCAGCAATATACAGAACCACAGCAAAACCCTCTCAAATCACATTCAAGCCCTTCCATCTCCAGTGAGATATTTTTGGCTTTACATGGTCACTTGTAGAGTAGAAAGGATCTTGTTTCTGTGGAGAGCATATACTTATTACAAGCGTTTGTGCTGAGAACAAATAGGCCTTTCCGTGGGAATGACTTCAAATATCCTTGCTGGGAAGGAAAAGAGAAAAATCCCAAACTGGGAGAAATACTTGGCCCAACAGAAATAAAGTTAACGTAATATGGCAATATCCCAACCAGCTTCTGTTTAGCAGATAGTCTCTCCTCTGACTCATGTATTGATGTGGCTATTAATAATGCACTGTTATAAAAATCCATCCTTGTAGGAGGAAGGATGCTGTCAAGACTCAAGCAATTCCTTGTTTTCAGTGAAATATGGGTAACATTTGTGTTGTGTTTTCAATTCCTCTTTTCAGGTTATTTTCCATTTCCACTTTAATAATAATCTTTATGCCTAAAAAAAGCATCTCACTTTTACAGTTGGGATGACCTTTTATATTACGTGTGGATTAGCACGGAACAGCAACTTGTTCAGTTTAGAGCTGACGGTAAGTATTGCTGCTTTTACCTCTGTCACTTTTATCAGTTTAAGTTGTTCTCTGTTACTGCAAGTTTGCTCATGGGGAAACTGAGGCAGACAGCAAGAAAGCCACTTACTTGGCATTGTCAGCATGGTAGGGTCTAGGATCAAGGCTAAGGATGCTGTGCTGGTTAGGGGATGCTATCTTCCTTGGAAACACAACCCAGGAGTCCTGAAAAATGTAATTCATTTAATCATTAGCATTTCTTTGAGATTTTCTCCCCTTTCTTACCCTAAAATAGTGTAAATTGTCTCTCTGAAGAGGGGCTTCTCTTTCATATAGAGAATCATTGCAGTGTTACAAAAACGCCTGTTTCTTCAAAAAGCCATGGCTTGTAATTAATAGTCTTTGGTACAGCACCAACAGGCCATTTTTAATTCAGGTTTCAGGCTCAGTCCAGCTGGAGATATTTCCTGTTCAAGCTGCCATAAGTAACCCTCTTAATTTTGTAATTTCTGGGAGCATTTGAATTCAGTAAGGACTACAGCATCAAGTACCACTTGATTTTAATATTAATAGCAGCTTTTTCTGATTCTGGAATTATCTGGCTTAGTTTAGGAAATATATTCTCCATGGCAAAGTCCTCGTTCCTTGTTTTACAATGGACTCCTGGAATATTTCAGTATTCCTGTTTCCTTGCACTGCCTCCTCCAAGAGCCCATGCTAATATTTGCTAAAATACTATAGGAACCACTTAGCAATTTCAAGCAGGATGTTTTTCTTGGCCCAATAGAGTAAGTGTCCAGATGCTTTCTCCAAAAGAAGTCAAAGTGGTGCCATATTAAATGCTTAAATCTTTTAAAGAATAATTACTCCCTTCACCCAACACACCTATCAGGGCTGATAGAAACGGGGATAAATGCAAGCTCAGCATTACAGCTGCAATCCTACTCAGGCCATTGCTTCTCAGAAATCAACCTATATGCACTCAAAGAGATCAGATTTTCTTGCTGCAGGGTTCAGGGCTATCCTTGAAATAATTTATATCTGCAGAAAGCTAGTAAGTCCTCCATGCTGCAGCCAAATGGTGGAGAACAATCAGATAACCGAACCACCACACTGGAGGCACCTCGGCGTGATAAGCCGAGGGAAGAAACAGCAGCACTGCTCCCAAGAGTTCAAAAATCTTCAGTCAAATCAGGCAAGAAGGAAGAGCAGCTTAAAAACTGAGAAGATACTAAAATAATCACTGAATGCTGCATCTGAATTGTCATGAAAGTCTTTTGTGCCATTAGAGTGCATTCTGGTGATGCCTTCTTACAGCCTACATGGACTAGAAATGCTGCAGATGAAAACAAATGCTCTCTTCTGTGCATGTGAGCTCAGAAACTGGGATTTCTACAAGAAGCACTGCAGTCAAGACGGTCTGAGGTCACTGAGCAAGTCCATAGAGACAAGGCAAGTCCAAGGTCTAGCTGGGTGGTTCGGTCCACATGTCAGGGTTTAGATCAATGGGGTGTGTGGCCGCCACAGGTATGGCTGCAAGTAAGGACCCCAAAATATCACTCCACTGCCTTCTGTCCTGTGCTGGGTTCAGCAGTAGCAGTCATTTTTCTCCTTCTTGGTCATTTTTCTCCTTCTTTTTTTGGGTGCAGTGGGGTTCTGGAGAATGCACATCCCAAATTATGGTTCGATTGTAAGCCCTCTCTATCATGTGACCCGGAAGAAGAATGATTTTAAATGGGGCCCTGAGCAACAACAAGCCTTTGAGCAAATTAAACACGAGATAGTTCATGCAGTAGCCCTTTGGACCTCTCCGGACCAGGCCAGATGTAAAAAATGTACTGTGCACTGCAGCTGGGGAGAACGGTCCTACCTGGAGCCTCTGGCAGAAAGCTCCAGGGGAGACACGAGGTCGACCCCTCGGCTTTTGGAGTCGGGGATACAAAGGATCTGAGGCCAGCTATACCCCAACTGAGAAAGAGAAAAAGAGATACTGGCAGCCTATGAAGGGGTTCGAGCTGCTTTGGAAGTGATTGGCACTGAAGCAGAGCTGGTTGCCTGCGCTGGGCTGGATGTTCAAAGGCAGGGTCTCCTCTACACATCATGCAACTGATGCTACATGGAGTAAATGGGCTGCACTAATTGCACAATGAACTCGAATAGGAAATCTCAGTCGTGCAGGAGTTCTAGAAGTCGTCATGGACTGGCCAGAGGGCAAAGATTTGGAATGTCACCAAAGGAGGAGGCGGTGCGTGCTGAAGAGGCCCCACCATATAATGAACTGTCAGAAAGTGAAAAGCAGTATGCCTTGTTTACTGATGGCTCTTGCCGTATTGTGGGAAAGCATCGGAGATGGAAGGCAGCTGTGTGGAGTCCTGGACAACAAGTTGCAGAAACTGCTGAAGGAGAGGGTGAATCGAGTCAGTTTGCTGAGGTGAAAGCCATCCAGCTGGCCCTGGACATTGCTGAACGAGAAAAGTGGCCAGTACTTTACCTCTCTACTGACTCATGGATGGTGGCAAATGCCCTGTGGGGGTGGTTGAAGCAATGGAAGCAGAGCAACTGGCAACACAGAGGTAAACCCATCTGGGCTGCTGCACTGTGGAAAGATATTGCTGCCAGGGTGCAGAACCTGGTGGTGAAGGTACGTCATGTTGATGCCCATGTACCCAAGAGTCGGGCCACTGAGGAACAGCAGAACAGCCAACAAGTGGATAAAGCGGCTAAGATTGAAGTGGCTCAGATGGACTTAGATTGGCAACATAAAGGTGAATTATTTTTGGCCCGGTGGGCCCATGACACTTCAGCCCATCAGGGCAGAGATGCAACATATAGATGGGCCCGTGAGCAAGGGGTGGACTTAACAATGGACACTATTGCCCAGGTTATTCATGAGTGTGAAACATGTGCTGCAATTAAACAAGCCAAGTGGTTAAAGCCTCTTTGGTATGGAGGACTATGGTTGAAGTATAAATATGGGGAGGCCTGGCAGATTGACTATATCACACTGCTGACATCCCACCAAGGCAAGCGCCATGTGCTTACCATGGTGGAAGCAACCACTGGGTGGCTGGAGACATACGCTGTGCCCCATGCCACTGCCCGGAACACCATCCTGGGCCTTGAGAAACAGATTTTGTGGCGACACGGCACCCCAGAGAGAACTGAGTCAGAAAATGGGACTCATTTCCGGAATAACCTTACAGATATTTGGGCCAAATCACATCCCCTACCATGCACCAGCCTCTGGGAAAATCAAACGGTACAAGGGCTGTTAAAAACTACACTGAGAGCAATGGGTGGGGGAACTTTCAAGCATTGGGATACACACTTACCAAAGGCCACCTGGTTGGTCAACACCAGAGGATCTGCCAACAGGGCTGGCCCAGCCCAGTCAGAACTTTTACATATTGTAGAGGGGGACAAAGTTCCCGTGGTGCATATGAAGAATTTGCTGGGGAAGACAGTCTGGGTAATTCCTGCTTCAGGTAAAGGCAAACCCACTCGTGGGATTGCTTTTGCTCAGGGACCTGGATATACTTGGTGGGTAATGTGGGAAGATGGGGAAGTCCGATGTATACCTCAAGGGGATTTGATTTTAGGGGAAAACAGCCAGTGAACTCAATTATATGCTGTTGCCTGCTGTGTAATACTTTTATAGCCCATCAACTAGATGTCTCCAGGTCACCAGCGACTAGCCCTGACTTCCTTCTAACCATCATCCTAACAGAGAATGAACTTTGATAGAACCGGATGAGTTCCGCAGGAAAGGAACGACCAGCATCAGCAGGCAACGATCCAATACTGCACACAGCCTTTCCTGCCCTGAAAGATTGTTACAACAGATGGAACCTGACATCATGGACCGAATGGACTCAGAAGCATTATAGGGATTGGTCCATGCACTAAGAAAATGATCTTTTTGTCTTGGTCTGTGTGTATATGGATGTATATATGTGGGAGAGCAATGGTGTATTGAAAATGTGGGATCTGAGCATGATGTGAATGGTATGGAATAAGGGGTGGATAACTTCCTGGGTTCAGCAGTGCTGTGTTTTGACTTCCAGCCTGGGAACAGTGCTGGTGAAGCCGATGTTTTCAGTTGTTGCTAAGTGATGTTTACCCTGACCAAGGACTTTGTGAGCTTCATGCTCTGCCAGGGAGAGGGGAAGCCAGGAGGAAGCAGAGACGGGGCGCCTGACCCAGGCTAGCCAAGGAGGTATTCCATACCACAGCACGTCATGCCCGGGGTGGGGGGTAACTGGGAGTTAGCCGGAAGGACATGGGCTTCCGGGTGGGACTTGTTTCTTGGCCGGTGGTACTGTATTCTCTTCCCTTGTTATTTTCTCTTATCGTTGTTGTTGGTGGTAGCGGTGGTGATTTGTGTTGTACATTGGTTGCTGGACTGTTCTTGTCTCAACCCGTGGGAGTTGCACTCTTTTGATCCTCCTCCCCATCCCTCCGGAAGCTGGGAAGGGGAGAGGCCTGGGGGGGAGGGCCTTGATTGCTCTCAGCCCGGCACCACTCACTGGGAGTGAGTGAACAAGATGTCTGGCTAGGGTTTAAACCATGACATGTCCAAAGAAGGAGATGCCAAAGAACAAGGGGGAAAGGAACCCACAGACAAGCATCAAGCTCTTCCTCATGCACGACCTAGCACCAGCAGCGAGGTGGTCCTGCAGGCGGGAGCATGATGTGCACATTTGTGAGGTCTTTGTCTGCTCAGATTGCATCATCCCTTGGTCATCCTGGTGTGGCCAGCAGGGCTTGGAAAGGCAGGACCAGCTCGCATTGCTTCTCCTCTTCATCCATGGCACACAGCTTTGGGCCGTGAGCTGATCATCTGGGGACTGCAGGAGGACCAAGCCCTTGGTGCTCATGTCTTGCAGCCCTTAGAAAACCTCCTCTCTACTGGGGCAAACATTCCTTCATTAGAATTGATCTCCATCAGTAATTTTTTATCCAGAAAGTGTTTTAATATCAAACAAAACACATGCTTAGGGTTTTCAGTCTGCTCTGTTGCCACCCTTGATGAAAGAAACACTTTTTCTTCCAGCTTTTGGAATATTTTTCCACCCCTTTGGCAAGACCTTGGGTTAGAGACATACTAAAAAAAAGAACATCTCCACCCCACCTATTTTTTTAAAGAAAAGAGTTTTTTCTTTCCACTTATGATGGACTTCAGTTCTGCAGCTCACTCTAATGCCAATCAGTGCCAAGCACGGGCT